CTGCTGCTGAAAAATTAAAGAACCGGTACGTGTTGATGAGAAGCGGAACTCGCGACGCAGAGAGGGAATCAAACAAGAGAAGTAGCATTCCAATTACTGTCCGGTAAGTATCGAGAATTCTGTCTTTTTGTCCTTGCATTCAACATACCTTAGAAGGTATTTATGGCAAGGATTGTTTTACATTTTGTTTAATGATTCGTATTTGGTAGGAATAAGCAGGCTTACTTTTATCATGTATCCTTAAAAGTTGTTTAATTGGCTGTTTAGCTAATTTCTTTCTTCAACTGTCAATCGACAATACAAGAAATATACACCCACTGGGGTATCGAAGTGATGCCTTTACTGAGAGGTTGTTGTGTAGGGTTGAGGGTTGACAAGGTTACATAAGCAGCTACAGAGCATCTCTGTTGATTAAGCTATACAACCGATAGCAGATTATCCGATGATTTGTGTAGAACTAGCTAGCAAAGTCACTGCTCTACCCTAGAACAACTTGTACCTTACCAATGGTATGCAAAACTTCAGATCAAGCATCGGGTATTATGTCCACTCAGATTTTAAGCCTACTTGTAATATTTGCATTCTTTTAAACTCCTTTAAACTTCAAACTTAATGCTCTGATTATGTAAGGAGCCGTGGTTGTTTGAATTTATTTTTCACTCACTCATTGGTTCTGTTTTTCCTACTGCTTGTTTATAACTACTGTTTGGGTCTAATTTCGGAGAGGTTCCAGTGAAATAACTCGAAGACAATATTTTGTAGACAACTTGAAGCAATTATCAGGATATCAGAGTCACTTGCCAAGATGCAGCTACTTCCATTTGCAACTGACGCACACGTTGACGAGGCACTGAGACTGTTCCAAGTATCAACACTTGAGGCTGCCAGATCGGGAAGCCTCTCCGGTGCTGAAGGACTCACTCCTGAAGAGGACGTCGAAGAAGTAAGGAGGATCGAGCAACAGCTTAAAAGGCGTTTTGCTATTGGCTCACAGGTAATTTTATTCTTTCGGATGACATCGCGGTGTTTGATAAAATAATGATATAAAACAGTTCCTTGTAACATCTGTTAGCATCTGATGCTGCTTGGCAGAAACACTGCTATGCTATAAGTTAGCTCGTTCGCAACGATACTGATAGCGTTTTAACAAAGTCAACAGCAATGATTTTGAAAAATCAAATCAGGGTAATAAATGACCCAATAAAACCATCAACGTAATAAAATAATGAATTTAGCAATAAATTTTCTCAATTTTAGATTTGTTTGCCCTTTTTAAAGTTTTGTGCTTTATTGATGCCAAGAGTAGAAAATAATTAATTTACCGTATGCTGCTTGCAAACACTTTTAATTAGTTATCTTGTCCCAGGTAATTTGTTTCTTTTTGGGTGACATCGTTATGTTGGGTTCAACAATGATAACAAACATCTGCGTGAAACAAGCACCTTTATTTCGCAACAAACCTTAACAGAACTTGAGATTGGCCTTATTCTATTACAAATTTCCCTGCCCTAGTGACGTCAAAATTCAATTTCACAGTTATTGTGTGAAGTTTTATTATTGTATCGATATCGCTTTTATTGCTGAAATTTTATTGTTTTCCTAGGTGTCTGAGCAGCGTATCATTCAAGATTTTGTTCGTCAGGTATGGGCTATTTTCAATACTGTCAATATCTCTGGCTCATACCATTCAGAGAGCCAATCTATGTTTGTCTTCATCTGTTTTTTCTGTATTTGAAAATACAGAATTTTCCAAGGGACTTGAACTAAATCCTCTGTTATCAAACCTTGGGAATCAGTAATGTTGTGTGTTTTCCTTTAAAATTAGACTTATCTTGACATCATGTAAACTGACATGTAAACACTCTAAGCGCATGTTTAAGAAAGATGACGCAAAGATTATCATAAATTATGATAATTAATGTTGCTTCGTAGAAACACTCAGAAAGGGCGGTCCAGATGGTGATTCATGTTATGCTGCGGAGGGGTGAACTAGAGCATCGTTTTCAACGTAAAGTCTTGTACAGGGTACGATAAAACTTCATCTTTTGAAGATATTCCCAACGAATTTGTGTTTGGGCCTTTCTAAAAAGCAGCCGATACAGGAAAACTGTTGTAGTATTAAGCAGAAATTAACACAGTTGTTCAATCCATTAAGATAATTATTAAGAAACAATTTATTGGAATTCTTCCACCTGCTGTTGATTTTTTAATGTATCTCCCTGGCACCATTGAAATCGGTTTCTATTTTCTTTTGATGTAAAAGCTATTGAGCATTTTAGGCCTAGGTAAGAGGTCATGTTCCTGCCAGGTCGAATTAAATTAATGGCTAAAAAGTGGTCAAATTTGACGCAAATGCGGTAAAATTCGACTCTGGATTTAAAGGTCGAATTTGAAGAGGCACCAACGCAAAAATTTGACCCCTGAAAATTGCAAAAAGATTCTGGAAGTGGGGACAAAAGTTCTCCCAAAAAGTTGATTTACATGCTTTGTATCACATACATGTGGCGAAAAACAAGCGAGAGAAACTAGTACGATTATATTTTTGGTAACCTAGCCCTCGGTTGACAGGGATTTTTCGGCACAAGGCAAGCTTCTGCCTAGAAGTAATCGTTCAAAATTGATTTGTTTTCAATTTTCAGCGAGCGTGACGATCGATAATCACACGATCGCTCAAATCCACCGGTATCGGCCTCCAGACGACCCGCATTTGCAGGCAGTTTCTCCCCTAATTTAGACCCCCTTTCTGTATTCCAGAAACATTGAGGATTTTTGTGATAGTCTCCGTTGTTCATATAACACACTAGAACGGCGAAAATATTTTTTGGCGATGCCAATTTTTTTCCGCTGATGCTTGATTACGTCGCATCAAATTTAAAAGTAGTGCCAAATATCTGTACGCTCGCGCTACATTTCTGGTGTTTTGGCGGGCTTTTTCCAAATTTATTGAAACTGCGATCAAGTTTATGACGGTTCTTGTGAATTTTTATGGCGAGAAAAGGTTGTAACGAACATCGGTTTTGAAAAAGAATGCCGGCCCTGTCCACACGTATCTGGAAATTCGTGAAAACGCAAACGCAAATTTTTTTTTCTACGAATACTTCCTGCGTCCACACGTATGCAGCGTATTTTATGGCCGTATCCGGAAATTTTTGGAAACGGTCTTCAGAGTGGACACTTTTTGATCCGATACAAATACGAATACGTGTGGACGCTTGTATCCGAAAATTTTCGAATACACGACGTCATTTTCTGGGTTCCAGTTCCTCACTGCTAGTACAAACAAACATGGATTACAGAAAGATTGTAGTGTTAGTTGCCTTGATTTCTAGTTTAATATCATGCGTTCAGATAAATGCAGCTGTAATGAATTTACAAAACAAATACGTACGAGATAGACATAATGTATTGAAGTTCCTTTCTATGAGTACTGAACTCCAAAAAGTCAAGAAAAGAGGAAAACATCGACGAAGGCGATTCTGGACGCGACCTGGAAGGACAAGCGCATGGTGGGACAAGGACGCAAAAGGATGGCGCGAAAATATTAGTCATGCGCATGCTCACTTAAGGATTATCTCCCGCAAAAGAACTGGGCACTAGAGCGAATCCGACAATTTCCGGATACAAGTGGACACGTGTAGACGCCTGAAAACGATTCGAATACGCTCCGTGTGGACGCGAAAATGTTCGTACCCGAAAAGAAATAGTTGCGGGAAAAAAACTTCCCGGATACATGTGATAAGACTATATTTCCGAACAATAAAAATTGAACGTTTGCAATAAATTTGATCGCCTTGTTTCAGCACAATGCGATGCAAGTTTACGGTTGCCCAGGCACGAAAAGTTTAAAGTCTTGATATATCTCTTTGTAAAAAGGCATCCCTTGAAGAAAAACTATCTCAGGGAATGAGGACTTCATGCAAAAAGGGTTCAAACAACTGACAATTTATTCAACGCATACACTGTTGGTTAATTACCATTTAAACTGCTGCTACTATGTGGAACACATCTTTGATCAATTCAATTCAACGCAGCAGAAAAGTGACCTTCAAATCGAGTTGCGTTACTGCCGTTTATGCGACAAGCCTGGTGATCTTTTTTATATTAATTCTTTGATTTAAAGTTTCCAAAACCAAGTCTTGAAGGGGCTTTGAGAATGACAATATCTCCTGCCATTTTCTAAAACTGGCCTTACCTCATATTGAGAACGCTTTGGCCTGTTTGTTCAATACATCACTTGAAACTAACATTTTTCCAGATTCATGGAAATTGGCCAGAGTTACCCCAGTTTTTATAGAAGGGGGCAAAACTGATAAGTCTAACTATCGCCCAATATCAGTTTTACCTGTTATCTCAAGGCTCTTGGCTTGAACCTGTACGGCTGCCAGGCCTAATTCCGGGCCCGTTGTGGCGTTGCTTCCAGGAAATGTGGTCCCAGGTTGTCTGAGACTGCTGCTGAAAAATTAAAGAACCGGTACGTGTTGATGAGAAGCGGAACTCGCGACGCAGAGAGGGAATCAAACAAGAGAAGTAGCATTCCAATTACTGTCCGGTAAGTATCGAGAATTCTGTCTTTTCGTCCTTGCATTCAACATATCTTGGAAGGTATTTATGGCAAGGATTGTTTTACATTTTGTTTAATGATTCGTATTTGGTAGAAATAAGCAGGCTTACTTTTATCATGTATCCTTAAAAGTTGTTTAATTGGCTGGTTAGCTAATTTCTTTCTTCAACTGTCAATCGACAATACAAGAAATATACACTCACAGGGGTATCGAAGTGATGCCTTTACTGAGAGGTTGTTGTGTAGGGTTGAGGGTTGACAAGGTTACATAAGCAGCTACAGAGCATCTCTGTTGATTAAGCTATACAACTGATAGCAGATTATCCGATGATTTGTGTAGAACTAGCTAGCAAAGTCACTGCTCTACCCTAGAACAACTTGTACCTTACCAATGGTATGCAAAACTTCAGATCAAGCATCGGGTATTATGTCCACTCAGATTTTAAGCCTACTTGTAATGTTTGCATTCCTTTAAACTCCTTTAAACTTCAAACTTAATGCTCTGATTATGTAAGGAGCCGTGACTCACTCATTGGTTCTGTTTTTCCTACTGCTTGTTTATAACTACTGTTTGGGTCTAATTTCGGAGAGGTTCCAGTGAAATAACTCGAAGAAAATATTTTGTAGACAACTTGAAGCAATTATCAGGATATCAGAGTCACTTGCCAAGATGCAGCTACTTCCATTTGCAACTGACGCACACGTTGATGAGGCACTGAGACTATTCCAAGTATCAACACTTGAGGCTGCCAGATCGGGAAGCCTCTCCGGTGCTGAAGGACTCACTCCTGAAGAGGACGTCGAAGAAGTAAGGAGGATCGAGCAACAGCTTAAAAGGCGTTTTGCTATTGGCTCACAGGTAATTTTATTCTTTCGGATGACATCGTGGTGTTGGATGAAATAATGATATTAAACAGTTCCTTGTAACATCTGTTAGCATCTGATGCTGCTTGGCAAAAACACTTCTATGCTATAAGTTAGTACGTTCGCAACGGTACTGATAGCGTTTTAACAAAGTCCACAGCGATGATTTTGAAAAATCAAATCAGCGTAATAAATGACCCAATAAAACCATCAACGTAATAAAATAATGAATTAAGCAATAAATTTTCTCAATTTTAGATTTGTTTGCACTTTTTAAAGTTTTGTGCTTTATTGATTCCAAGAGTAGAAAAAAATTAATTTACCGTATGCTGCTTGCAAACACTTTTAATTAGTTATCTTGTCCCAGGTAATTTGTTTCTTTTGGGTGACATCGTTATGTTGGGTTCAACGATGATAATAAACATCTGCGTGAAACAAGCACCTTTATTTGGCAACAAACCTTAACAGAACTTGAGATTGGCCTTATTCTATTACAAATTTCCCTGCCCTAGTGACGTCAAAATTCAATTTCACAGTTATTGCGTAAAGTTTTATTATTGTATCGATATCGCTTTTATTGCTGAAATTTTATTGTTTTCCTAGGTGTCTGAGCAGCGTATCATTCAAGATTTTGTTCGTCAGGTATGGGCTATTTTCAATACTGTCAATATCTCTGGCTCATACCATTCAGAGAGCCAATCTATGTTTGTCTTCATCTGTTTTTTCTGTATTTGAAAATACAGAATTTTCCAAGAGACTTGAACTAAATCCTCTGTTATCAAACCTTGGGAATCAGTAATGTTGTGTGTTTTCCTTTAAAATTAGACTTATCTTGACATCATGTAAACTGATGTCGAATTTTGTTAACATACAATTGACATATGTTCTGGTGAAAAAATAGTTGTCCAAGACTTTGTTATTTTTAAATGCCAATAGTGTAGTGGAGCCTGTTTTTCAAATCAGATACATTTTAATTTCCTTTCTGTTGATAAAACACTCTAAGCGCATGTTTAAGAAAGATGACGCAAAGATTATCATAAATTATGATAATTAATGTTGCTTCGTAGAAACACTCAGAAAGGGCGGTCCAGATGGTGATTCATGTTATGCTGCGGAGGGGTGAACTAGAGCATCGTTTTCAACGTAAAGTCTTGTACAGGGTACGATAAAACTTCATCTTTTGAAGATATTCCCAACGAATTTGTGTTTGGGCCTTTCTAAAAAGCAGCCGATACAGGAAAACTGTTGTAGTATTAAGCAGAAATTAACACAGTTGTTCAATCCATTAAGATAATTATTAAGAAACAATTTATTGGAATTCTTCCACCTGCTGTTGATTTTTTAATGTATCTCCCTGGCACCATTGAAATCGGTTTCTATTTTCTTTTGATGTAAAAGCTATTGAGCATTTTAGGCCTAGGTAAGAGGTCATGTTCCTGCCAGGTCGAATTAAATTAATGGCTAAAAAGTGGTCAAATTTGACGCAAATGCGGTAAAATTCGACTCTGGATTTAAAGGTCGAATTTGAAGAGGCACCAACGCAAAAATTTGACCCCTGAAAATTGCAAAAAGATTCTGGAAGTGGGGACAAAAGTTCTCCCAAAAAGTTGATTTACATGCTTTGTATCACATACATGTGGCGAAAAACAAGCGAGAGAAACTAGTACGATTATATTTTTGGTAACCTAGCCCTCGGTTGACAGGGATTTTTCGGCACAAGGCAAGCTTCTGCCTAGAAGTAATCGTTCAAAATTGATTTGTTTTCAATTTTCAGCGAGCGTGACGATCGATAATCACACGATCGCTCAAATCCACCGGTATCGGCCTCCAGACGACCCGCATTTGCAGGCAGTTTCTCCCCTAATTTAGACCCCCTTTCTGTATTCCAGAAACATTGAGGATTTTTGTGATAGTCTCCGTTGTTCATATAACACACTAGAACGGCGAAAATATTTTTTGGCGATGCCAATTTTTTTCCGCTGATGCTTGATTACGTCGCATCAAATTTAAAAGTAGTGCCAAATATCTGTACGCTCGCGCTACATTTCTGGTGTTTTGGCGGGCTTTTTCCAAATTTATTGAAACTGCGATCAAGTTTATGACGGTTCTTGTGAATTTTTATGGCGAGAAAAGGTTGTAACTAACATCGGTTTTGAAAAAGAATGCTGGCCCTGTCCACACGTATCTGGAAATTCGTGAAAACGCAAACGCAAATTTTTTTTTCTACGAATACTTCCTGCGTCCACACGTATGCAGCGTATTTTATGGCCGTATCCGGAAATTTTTGGAAACGGTCTTCAGAGTGGACACTTTTTGATCCGATACAAATACGAATACGTGTGGACGCTTGTATCCGAAAATTTTCGAATACACGACGTCATTTTCTGGGTTCCAGTTCCTCACTGCTAGTACAAACAAACATGGATTACAGAAAGATTGTGGTGTTAGAGATAAATGCAGATAAATGCGTTCAGATAAATGCAGCTGTGATGAATTTACAAAACAAATACGTACGAGATAGACATAATGTATTGAAGTTCCTTTCTATGAGTACTGAACTCCAAAAAGTCAAGAAAAGAGGAAAACATCGACGAAGGCGATTCTGGACGCGACCTGGAAGGACAAGCGCATGGTGGGACAAGGACGCAAAAGGATGGCGCGAAAATATTAGTCATGTGCATGCTCACTTAAGGATTATCTCCCGCAAAAGAACTGGGCACTAGAGCGAATCAGACAATTTCCGGATACAAGTGGATACGTGTAGACGCCTGAAAACGATTCGAATACGCTCCGTGTGGACGCGAAAATTTTCGTACCCGAAAAGAAATAGTTGCGGGAAAAAACTTTCCGGATACGTTTCAGCACGATGCGATGCGAGTTTGCGAGTTTACGACAGAAAAGTGACCTTCAAATCGAGTTGCGTTACTGTCGTTTTATGCGACAAGCCTGGTGATCTTTTATATATTAATTCTTTGATTTTCCAAAACCAAGTCTTGAAAGGGCTTTGAGAATGACAATATCTCCTGCTATTTTCTAAAACTGGCCTTACCTCATATTGAGAACGCTTTGGCCTGTTTGTTCAATACATCACTTGAAACTAACATTTTTCCAGATTCATGGAAATTGGCCAGAGTTACCCCAGTTTTTAAAGAAGGGGGCAAAACTGATAAGTCTAACTATCGCCCTATATCAGTTTTACCTGTCATCTCAAGGCTTTTGGCTTTTGTAAACTTCACTCTACCGTAACATGTTTGCTTGAAAACACTGATGACTGGTATAAAGGACTAGATTTGGGGAAGCTAGTGGGATTAGTTTTTATTGACCTGACAAAGGCATTTGACACGGTTGACCATGGCATACTATGCAAAAAGCTGGTGTTTTATGGTATTCAGCAACAGCCGTTAGAATGGTTTAAATCATACCTTTACAACCGGAAGCAATACTCTAGGGTAAACGGTGTTGATTCATCAATTATGGAAATAAATGTTGGTGTACCCCAAGGCTCATGTCTTGGACCCCTTTTATTCCTCATTTATATAAACGACCTCCCACTAGCTGTCCAGAAAACAAATGTGTCTATGTATGCAGATGAAACGGGTCTTTGCCATCAATCGCATAATATCACTCAGCTGAATGAGGCCATCAATAATGACCTTGCACACGTTGAAAAATGGCTCAGAGGCAACAAACTTTCACTGAATGTAATGAAAACACATGCCCTGCTTATTTCCACCAAACCTAAGCATAAATCATTAAAGAATCAAGACGAATCTTTAAAGGTAAAAATTCAAAACAATGAGCTGGATGTTGTTCAAAAAGCCAAATATCTTGGAGTACAGATCGATAACACACTAGATTGGAAGGAACACACTAAAACAATTTCTTCCAAGGTCTCCAGAGAAATTGGCTTTTTGAAGCATGCAAAATCCTTTCTGCCAAAAGAAACTCTGAAGACTATGTACACAAGTATTTTAGAGCCACACTTACCTTGTTGTGGTCTTACCGAAATCAAACGCTTACAAAAACTACAAAACCTGGCTGCTCGTATTGTAATTGGCAGCAGTTTTGATGCACCGAGCCAACCACTCATAAAAGAGCTGAGCTGGAGGACCATAGACGAGCTAATCACTAATGAGTCAAATATCACAGAAAAATCCAAGTTAAATTCTAGGAATCTTAGAATACATCAACTGACCTAAGGCTACCAAATAAAAACTCTACCAAAAATTTCTGTAAGTATTTTAAGTGGAGGGCCCCTTGAAAATCAGCATTGCTGAAGAGCTACCCTCCTTAAACATTTCAAATGAATGAAATAAAATGAAATGAAGTTGGCAGTTAAAATATATAGCTTTAAAGCTAATTGAGGCCAACTTTTAAAACAAAATAGATACAAATGAACGCAAAATACAACTTGTGATAAAAAGTCTAAGTTTGGATAAAATATCTTACACGATTTGCAGTTGCAAGCTAGGAATTTATGGGCTTTAATGAGTTTTTTGAATATCTGAATATCTGAAGGGATTCTGAATTTTTCATTTCTGGCGTTAATGTCTCCCATAATTTTTCCCATAAATCTCTGTATCGATTCCAGGGCAAGTTGTTTTCGCAACTAATTATTATCAATACTGCCGTCGCATCAATTGTTTATTGGGGCAATTGATTAAAAGGTCGTATTTAATTGATACTTCGTTTTTTAATTGAATTGAATTTGACGAGACAGAATTACGACCATTAAGCTACGCCTTAATGAGGTGCGATGGCTCTTCTTGAATTTGGTCTACGTCACGAGTTGATTCATTTCTGAATCGGCATTCACCGGCTGGTAATTCTAGTAATATGAAAACCCAACCCTCTATTCAACCGATGGAGAATTTATATACCTGCTGTTCCTCCAAATATCATTTTACGACGGCAGTGCGTCCGGCAGAGAAGACGCGAAAATGGCAAAAACCACGTGAGTATCTTTTGTTATTTAAAGTATCTAGTTTAAGTAAGTTTTTCACAACATTTTTAAATTCTTTAAGGTCCTTAACCTTCAAACCTGTTAAATTATTTTATGATGCGTTTACAGCACCTTTCTTGCAATGTCCCAGTATTAAGGAACAAGACGAAATATAATTCAAAATTAAAGCTGCAAACCAGGCATGTTTGATGATGTTTGATTCTTGAACTTGTACCGAGAGATGAAATAGTTTAAGATCGAGTGTGGCTTCGGGGTGCAAGAAGTACCATAAAAAAATCAATAACAGCGAGTTGTTATTTCTAATGAAATGAAATCATACAACTGTCTTATATCTACCGTAAAACATTGACAAACTTTTACGTTTGCTGAGTTTAAGCAATACCTTAACATCAAGGGCGAAACATTTTTCATGTGTTTTTCGACATTAGCAGTCTTTTAAAAAATATTCCTCTGAGTGCTCTGTGCCGGGCGAGCTTGATAGCCCACCATTCCCAGAGGAGGTATTCATCGAGGAGCTGATGGAGACTGAGACACGTTCAGTTGAATATATATAATCTATCTTGTGCTTTCGGCCCTTATTCAAAAGTTTTATACTCTGAAGAGTGTCAGACAAAAAAGCTTTTAGTATGTTGTAAAATGTAATGTAAATCTGTTTTATTTTACAGGCCTGCTTTACATGTTTAATTTGTCTAACCTATGATAGTGTACATTGGTCAATCATATCCCAAACATTTTACCAAACGCCATTGTTTGTTGATCCAACTTGAGAACGTTGACATTTTCTAATATTCACAATGCAGAAGGTTATGAAAAGTCTCTTACCATTTTTAAACATTACTGTTTATTGTGTTTCTAGGCTGACAGTGTTGTTTTACTTGCCATTACTTGCACAGTCGACGATACTCCGTCTCCCTTGTCAAACCTTTGCCGAATTCACAGTGTTCCACATGGGCAAAGCTCTTAAAGGCCACATAATCAAAACGGAACGCGATGTGGACGACATTGGATGCACGAGGAAGTGCGTGGAGCACCACAAATGTCGATCATACAACTTAAACGTGCAGACCAAAGAGTGCCAGCTCAACGAAAGGCGACATGGAGAAAACGGTACGCAGTTGGTTGATGCTCCTGGTTGGTTGTACAAATCGACTGATTACAGCAAAAAGTTGGTGAGCTCACTGTTTGTTGCTATCTCTTTGAAGTTATGTTTGATGAAAACAGTCTCTTGTTGTCTAGCTAACCCTTTCCTTTCTTAATTTTATTCAGAGGCCACTCGAAGTTCTTAAACGGTGGCTTGGCATTAAACAGAATTTAATGATAAAAGCTCTCTAGTGATAAAAGTTTGTTGAGAAAGTCCCTGAAAAAGTTTGAAATTGAAAGCCAGCTTCTCTATTTTGTCCAGTACCAAACCTGTCATTGATAATTTTACTTTTCACAAATATGTTTTTTTTGCTTAGCATAATTGTTATTTTCAATCGATTTTAGCAACCTTTATTTGAAGATGCAGAAATAATATTTTATTGTGCTGTTTAGTAACCAGATTTACTGCTTGTTTTGAATAGATTGGTGCGACATGCCGAGCTCTCAACCCATGTCCTTCTCACATCCTATGCAGAGATAAATGCACAAGCCCGTTTTATGAATGCGTTTATTGCGATGAAAACCATCATGGGTTGCACTGTGACATTCCACTTGGTATGTTTTTTTCATTTGAGCAATCTTTCCTACATTTTCTTAATTGCTTTTTGTTTGTTTTGTATGATAGAAATCATACTTAGTTTAAAAGCATTTTTATCATTATATTCTCCAAATGCATCTTTCTGACATAATTGCAATGAAATCATTATCTTGAAGATAAAAACGACTGCGAGAAGAATCCTTGTCAGAATGGCAAGTGTGTGGATGAACATGCCAGTCATTTTTGCCTTTGTGATCCAGGCTTTACGGGAAGGAATTGTGAATCAGGTAAATGGTGGAATTGACTTCTACTTGGTTTTGTTTGTTTAACACTAGTATTGGCACAGAAAATCAAGATCTGAGAAAGAAATGGTTTCTTGTGTTCTTGAGGTAACCTTGTTTATCACACGACAAAGTAAAAATCACGGTAATTGTGTCAATTTTCCTCAAACAGGCATCAAGTCTTTGTTTTGATTGACTCTTTGATGCAGGGCCACTGTGCCTTTTCCCAGTTACTAAGCACCAAATTAGTATTAGTGCTGTCAGCTTGGTTATGCTTTGGTCGAGAATCTGACTTTGACTTCATTTTACATTAATCATTGAATAAATTGAAGATTAATTAGCCGACATTAATTTCATGGCGGCTCTA